GCATTACCAAGATAGGAAACTCATGGGAGTATTTACAAAACAAATATCCAAGAAAGCAGATCTAAATTGGGCACATTTAAAAGTTTACTTAAATACATAGTCACTTGCTGTTTACTCGACAAGTAACAATTAATTACTCTTTGAAAATTTCCTATCAAAAAAGGAAATACTAATTAAATTATCAAGTAAAGAGCAACTTCTTTTTGCTTTTGGTTTCTCTGAGACATAGTGGGTCTCACCATATAGCCCAGGCTGGAGCTGAAGTGCTGCCAATCTTCCTCCCTTAGCCTCCTAGGTGTTGTGATTATAGGCACATATCACCACACCCAGCTTGTTCTCTGGTTTCTTCCTGAACACAGACAAGGGTTTGTTCCTAATGCTTAGGCTGCTAAGGTAATATGCCAAAAGTATTATCAGCACAATTTTACATCTTTAAATAAAATGTAGGGGGCCAGGGAGACGACTCAGTGGAGTAAGTGCTTCCCTGACAAGGGCAAGGGCCTGAGTTCAATCTCCAGTTCTGCCAAAATAAAAAATAACATAACATAACATAACTAAAATAAAATAAAATAAATAAAATAACAACATAAAATAACATAACACAAAATAAAACAACTCAAAATAACATAAAATAAAATAACATAACATAAAATAACACAATATAACATAAAATAACAAAATAACATAACATAAAATAAAGTAACATAACATAAAATAACATAAAATAAAACATAAAATAAAATAACATAATATAATGTAAAATAATAAATAAAATGTAATTAAATTTTTAAAAATAGAAATTTTAGCCAGGTATGGTGGTATATCCTATAATCCCAGCACTTTGGGAGGCTGAGGCAGGACTGTAAATTTAACACAATCCAAGAAACTTGCTGACTTAGTAAGATGCTGTTTTAAAATATAAAAATAACCAACCATAGGAACCCAAACAAAAAACAAGTGAGAACTGAGGATGCAGGTCATTGCAAAGACCCTGGGCTCAATTCCTAGTACTACAAAATAAGTAAAAAAATTTTCTAACTTTTAAAGTAAAATTGCAATTTTATTTTTCCTGTGGAAACAATTTCTTATTCTTTTATTTAAAAATCAAATTCAGTTAAAATAGGATTTGCTTATTTCAAATGTAGCCAAAAGAAACCAGGGTGTGCAAGGTGATCAGTTAGGGCTAGAAGCAGAGGCACAGCTCCTAGTCGGAAGGATTCCAGTGTTAATTAAGGAACTGTGTTGAAGATGGAGATGGCAGAGAAGGATCAGTCTAGCATCTGATGTCCCTGGTGCAAGTTCTTTCTTCCTGGTGCCATGTTGACCTGACCTGCTGAGCCCCCCTGAGGCCGCTGTGTGAGAGAGCTGGGACTGGGCTGCTCAGCAGCACCTCATCTCACAGTGGCTTGGTGAAGGTCTCATGCAACCCCAGAACCCCACCTCTCTTCCCTCTCAGGTGACACCCTCCTCCTGCTGGCCTTTCCCATGGCTGTCTTGTCTGCCAGAGCTGAGCCCTGGAGCTCTGGGTGTCAGTAGTGGGGAGGACACTCCAGGTTGGCAAGGCACACATGGGGCATGGTTGTGCTTGTTCGCGATCATACTTCCTGACCTTGGCTATGATAGGGCATGGAAGGCCAGATCAGAAATGGGAGGAGCGCTGGGCCCTGCTCCCACGGGATCACAGGTATTGTTCCCAATTCCTTTAGGGTCCCTTCACTTGGCTGGGACAGAAAGGAAAGCTGAACATCACGAAGTCTCCTAGCGGCTCTCAGCCCTTGGCGCTGCAGCTTGGGACAGACTATCTATTCCTCTGGTTTCTGAGCCTCCCTATCCACCCCTCAGCAGTCAAGGCTTAACCCTGTGCTGGCTGGTGCATGATGCCCACCCTCCTGTCTCACCTTATCTCTTCAGTTCCCTGATTTCTGCCTATCTTTGGAGCTCTCCAGTGTTCAGTCCCTAGTATTACAGCTCCCTAGATTAACACCTGCTTAGCCTGCAGCACCTGGGATATCCAGGAACAAACCCATACTTGAGCATGCACAAGCCACCCTACCTCAACCTTAAAAATTGCAATTTAAATATGCAATTTGTTATAAAGAATGTAATGAGTGTTATAAAGAATGTTAAATAATATTTATATGGAAAAAAAATCTGCTAATGTAGGGAAAAAATTTAACCTGCTAGGTAGAGTGTCATATGCCTATAATCCCAATACTCTAGTACTTGCCAAGCTAAGCCGTGAGAAGCATAATTCCAGGCCAGTTTAGACAACACAGCAAGTTAAGGCCACCCTGGATTACAGTGAAACCCTATCTCAAAAAACATACCAAAAAGAATGTGAACCTAATAGAAAGTAAGAGTAGAGAGCAAGGGAATTCAAGGGATCTATAACCTTAAAAAAAATTACATCTTCATTTCTACTAATCTTAAACTGAAACAAAGCACATTTGTAGTTTTAACACTGATAAATGTTAATTATAAATAATAAACCATATGTTACTTTATCACTGATAAAAGTCAGATATATTTTCACACACAACGGTTGTTAGAATCATTTCTTCTTTCCTTTTTTAAAGAGGAATTTCACTATGTTGCCTCAAGACGGCTTCAAATTCTTCGGCTCAAGGGAACTTCATGCCTCAGTCTCTTCCCTGCCAGATAGTTTTTACGTGTTACAGAGAACACATATGATTACAAAACAAGTGTTTTTGGATAGCATTCAGTATAAGTGGTTCTCTTCATGACCTTACATATCTTACATATTTAAAAACATTCTGGCAACAGGCTTCATCGAATTGTCTAAAGGATATATACACATATTTAGTAGTTATGACAGAAAAGTATACCTTTAGAAAACCAAGCTGCTAGGATCTGATTTCCTTAGAACAACAAAAATTAATCTATACCCTAAAGTGAGAAATAGTAGCTGAAAGCCAGCAAAATATATTAACTTACAATACTGAAAATTGCTAAATCTATTTATTTAGTAATCCTATTGTCAGTACTATTATTTAGGTTTTTTGGAACCAACATAAAAAGTAAAAACAGCTTATGTTTTAAACAAAATATAAACTCAAAACTATACAGTTTATGAAGTTATAAAAACAAAGAACACATTAAGCAATCTATGGAAAATCTTTGGTACTGTTAACTATGATTTATATGTTAACTTTCAACACTGTCCTCACCTGCCCACCGGCTACAATGGCTCCAAAGAGATGCAATAAGCAACATTTAAGACTTTCCTTGAGATGTTCACTTTCCTGAAAACATTCTGTGAATACAATACACAAACAAATAAATACAATTTCTTTTACAACAGGATTAATTTTTAAGGAATGTGTATACTTAAAGCATGAAGAACTATTTGGCTAAAATGCCATCAGAGGCAAATATGGTAAGCATTTTATAATGGGAAAGAAAAAGAGAAATAATCAGGTAGCACTTTGGTACTTTGTGATTTTTCATTTAATTCTAATAGTTTTCCACAGGAGAATATCCTGCTCCCACTTATAAATGAGAAAGTGAAAGATCGAAAGTTAGCTTCTTACTTGAGGTCACACAGCAACTCAGTAACATAGCCAGACATCAACCCAAAACTGACATAAAATCGTATTTTGTAGGATTTTTTTTTTTACTACTATTATTGCCTCTTATTAGTACTAAGTGACTAGTCAATTACAAAATGAAAGAGTAAGACAAAAAATATTTCCTGTGACTATTCCAGGGCTAATATTTTAAATAAAATTCAATAGCAACTTTGTTTTACCACTATAAATTATCATTTAAAAAATGTTACAAATGGACAGGTCAAAGAATAGCAAAACAAACAACAACAACAAAAAAGGACAAAGAAAAAGTAAGTCCACCCGTGACCTTTTTCTCAATGTGCAACACCACTCCATCTTTGTCTTATGTTGTGTTTTTGTTGAGGTGTTGTTTTTTTTTTTTTCTTTCTTTTTTAGACAGGGCCTCACTATGTAGTTCAGCTTTTAATTGATTATGTAGCTCAGGCTGACCTAAAACTCACTGTAATCCTCCTACCTCAGCCCGCCAAGTATAGAGATTACAAATCTGGGCCACCACACCCACTGTATCCTCCATTTTGACAAAAGAAAAAAAAAGCTTCACGTATACACTTTTCTTTCACTATCCATGGGTAAATGTTTCCAGGACCTTCACCCCAACATGCCAACACTATGAATACTCCAATTCCTTATATAAAATGGTGCAGTGTATCCACATCACCTGAGCTGCTTCTCCTATATACTTTAAAACGTCCTCCATAATTGAAATACCACTATATGTAATACCACTATGTAAACAGTGGTAATACCACTATGTAAATACCACTATGTAAATAGCTGTTGATGCTACACTGTCTTAGGAAATAAGGACAAGAAAAATGTCTATACATGATCAGTACAAATGCAACAATTTTGCTGATCATTTTTAAACTGTATTTCGTTAAATTTACATAAACTCATGGGTGCAGAGTTGATAGTACTGCATCATTTTTTATTTTTTAAATTTTTAGGGGAGATGGCTCAGTAGAATAAATGCTTGCCTGGCAAGCGCAAGGGTCTGAGTTCGATCCCCAGTTCCACCAAAATAAA